CTAGTGGGAGCGCGGAGTCGGCGAGGAGGAGGAGCGCGTGGAGGGCTGGGGGGTGTTAGGTTGGGAGTTGGGTGGGTGGGTGTAGCGATAACGGACCTGCGTCGTTTGCGGGCGATGAAGGTGTCGCTGTGACGGTGTCTGGATTCAGTCTGGCTTTTGCATCGTGTAGCCGTCTTTCGAGATGGGCTATCTCGTCTTGGACGGCTTGTTGCTCCAAAGGTGGTTGTGTCATCGTGTGCATGGGAACGATGATGCGGCTAGAGTAGGGTACAACATGCGCCTCGGCGACTATTCCCAAGATAGACGGGGTATCCATTCGGGCGCATGCAGCTTTACACATGCATAGAACCTAGTCTGAAGATAGTAATGCATGATAACGTTGTTCCATTTCGTCTCGTCTCGTCTCATCAATATATGTAGTCATGAGCCTCGTAGTCATTCATCCGTAATCAAAACTCCAGAACCAGTCCATCATCCGAAGGCATCCAAGCCGCAACAGGGTATACAGATGACAATTGCGCCTGAGAAGAAAACCGATGCTGTACACGCTAAACAAGAATGGCTGTGAGCCCATGTCTACGCGTCTTCTTCCTTCGCGTCTTTCTTGGGGATATCAGCGAACATGAGTGTGCCGCTGCCCTTGTTCGACTCGAAGTTCTTCGCGCTCGTCCTCTTAAATAGCGTCTGCGGCTTCGATCTATACGTGCGTTAGTTCACGTCTTATTGCTGGTATGCAGTTGCATAGCAACTTACTTCTTCATGGCGTGCTTGGTCTTGAACGCTTGCAACTTCTGTGTAGCGGGGCTCATGATGTCGTCCGACGGCGAGACAAACTTCTGCTCTCTGGAATATCATTAGTGATGCATAATGGGACATGGACATGTAAGAACTCACTGTGGGTTGTCTAGACGCGACTGCAGAACTTGACGGTGGTAGTCGAGGCTCTTGGAGTCCTTCTTCTCGGCGTCCTTCTCTGGTGAAGACATGGGCTTGACTTGCGCGTTGGTGTCGCGGGGGCTGAGGACGTTGGTGGCCATTGCGGTAGGGTAGTTGCGGTTGATGTAAAGGCGGAAGACTTGATCAAAAGTTTTCAGATGTGGACGTTTTCAAGGTCGTGTAGCAAGTTGCAGTTGTTGTAGTTTGTGCTGAAGAGGTGCTGTCTGAAAGGATCTTGTTGCGGATTGCGGTCGTGGTTATAGTAGTCTTCTCCAGGGTGTTTATGGTAGCCTGTCGCGTGGGGCAACGGCGAGGAACGTCATACCCTGCCACCCTCAGCCCTACATCCCAACGTTCACGGGCCGTGCACTTAGCCATCCCTGATCCGGCCTTCAGTTTGAAATGACAGCTCTCACATAATTGGCTGGCAATGAACGCTTTGCCTAGTGCACCGAGCAAAGGTACCAGCCCAGTGTGAGTCAAAGGCTATAGAATCACATCATATAACACAAATTGGACATGGTATCTTTGTTTGCATTCTTTCTCTGGGCCATCCCAGGCCTGAGCTCCGCAGAGCCAACGGAATTTATCTAAACCCATCCGCGGAAACATTGCCGACCGAGAGACGAACTCCGTGCATCTAGTAAAACATGCTAACACATGTCGTCTGAACATGCATCGCAACTATCATCGTACATTGTCTCGCGCTCTTGCGCTGCCGAACTCCAACGCCATGAATTTGGCAGAAAGCCACCCGCAAAACACCAACCTCCCAGGCACTGCTTCGTGCATGGCCTCAAAATTCGCCTTCAACGCTATTGTAAACTGGTAAGAAAGGGTACTGAAGGAAATGCAGCTGGTGATGTACATGTGGCAAAATGCAAGGAATAAGAAAAGGGTATCCGGTTTGCAGAGCTCTCACAAATGGACGCGCATGGTATCGTTGCTGCCAAAGGCCTTGCCGCAATTCGGGCACTTCCTCGCGCGGTTGGTGAGTCGATCTTGCACGCACTGGTCGCAGAACATGTGCCCACAAGTCTTGATGACCGTGTTCTTGAGCTTGCTCTTGCAGATCTGACACTGAATCAAAAGCTCCATCGTCGACACTTCAGAGCTCTGATTGGCCGTGCTCTTCTTCTTGTAGATTTGCACTTGCTTCTCCAATCCAGTCACTTGTGCAGCAAGCTTGTCTCGCTCGGTTTCCGATTCGCGTTGGGCGTGCTTTGCCGCGAGACATGTCGCGTCCTTGGCCTCGACGACCTTCTTGAGCTCCGCTATCTGGCTGACATGACCCTCGGAAGTGATGGCATTCTCGCTGACCTTTTGTTGCAGCTGGCGGTGCTGGGTAGAAAGATCGTCCATTTGCGATCGCATTTCTGCACATTGCTTCTCCAGCTTGTCGACCAGTGACCGGCTCAAGGAATCCGCCTCTTTCAGTTGCGCCACTACTTCCGTGGCTTTGGTAGCCTGGGCACGGAGGATGCGGATTTGTTGTTCGAGTTCTCCTTTGGTCTTCATGGCTGCGAAGAACTTTTGATCCGCTTTGGCCTTGTCCGCATGTGCCTTGGCAATGTTCTCTTCCCACGCAGCAATCTCGGTAATCTTCTTGCTCGCGATCGCCTGCGCCTTTTTCCATGCGGACTCCATGGACGGGAGTTCGTTGCCCAGAATCTTGCATTGGCTCTCAAGTTTGGAGATTTTGCTGCGCAGCTGCTCCGGTGTCAAGTCGTCTGAGCCAGACATTACTTGGTCTCCTGAACTCTGCTGCTCCGCAATCTGGAGTCGCAGTCGCTCGCATTCCGATTCGAGTGCAGCAATGCGGCTGTCGCATGCGCTCGCAAGCTGTTTCGCCTGCTCGATAGAGTCCTTGGAATCCTTGTGGCTGGCCTCCAAGAGGTTGTTCTTGGTGGCTAGTTCGTCGCGGGCGTTTCGAATGCGAGCACAGTTCGCTTCCGCTTGCGAAACGTGGCTTGCACTGTCTGCCAAGCTGGCGCGGACCTCGTCGTCCACCTTGATCCTGTAGGCTGTTCGCTCTGCTTGGAACTTTTGCGCTTCTTCCCGCAAGGAAATGTTGGTGGCTTCGAGATTGTTGATTCGCTTGATCACGTCTTCATGCTGGTTCTTGATAGCTTTGAAGAGATCGGTCTTTGCATAATCATCATCCGACAGCCCGGTAAGCTTGACCTTCAATGCTGAGACTTCCTCAGTGAGCTTCTTGTTTTCCTGCTCGATCTGCTCAAGCTGCTCTTTCCTCTTGGCTGCCTCGGCTATGGCCTGGTTTTTTGCAGTTTCCAACTCTTCACTGATCGGTCCGGGTGAGGTGCCATTGACGGCTTCTGTTCCGTTGCTGGTAGATGGAGCCTCCTCCTTCGCAGGCGCGCTTGTGCCGTGCGCCTGCTGCTCAAGTTTCTGGACTTGGGCGCTCTTCAAGCGATCGAGCTTCTTCTCAGCGACCAGGTAGCGATGAGTAGCCGTGTCCAACCGATCAGATAGTTGCTCTTTCTCGGTAGTAACGCGTTGCAATCGCACAACATGATCCTTCTCCGTGACCAAGAGTTCCGACAGCTTCTGTTGGAGTTTCGCAACCTCTGGACTGCTTGCAGGATATCTCGCAAAGAGGTCGGAAAGGGATGCAAGGATCTTCTCTTTGCGGTCCGAGAGGTGTTTCTTGAACGTCTGGGTGTCCTCGCACAGAAGCGCAGCGGGTACCGACTGCGAGGCATCGGAATCGCCTGATGATGCAGGTAGTTTCTCGGCGCCCAGGAGTTTGATTTCATCGATAAGCTAAGCAGCAATTAGCATCACCTCAATCAACTTCCAGGGGTATACTGACCTGATCAAACCAAGCGTCGATTGTGCGGAGGTGGTCGTCGTGGTACTTGGAGCGGCCCTCCAGCTCGTTCAGTTGTGACTCGACGGTAGCCTTCTCGCGCTTGAACTCGCGCATCTGGCGCAGAATGGCATCTTTCTGGAACGACTGTAGATTCGAGTGGTCAGCGGGTGTGTGCGCCGTGGGCGTGGGAGGAGGGCGGGAGGTGATCGGGGGGCGAACCTCGATGTCATCTTTCCACGGCAAGTCAGCGTCTGGGTGGGAGCGAGCACCGTTGACGGTCACGGCTTGCCTCTTAGCGGGAGGAGCAGCGTCGTCGGCAATGGGCCGTTTTCGGTCCTCCATCTTGACGGCGTCAAGCGATGGGGGTGCGACGGTCCTGGCTTCGAGCCTCATCGAGGAGACGCCGGCTTCGAGATAGGGCAGCGAAGACGCGCGCGCTCTCAGGTCATTAAAGGGAGATGAAGGGGCGGATGGCAGGCACGCAGGAGACGGGCGGACGAGAGGCAGCGGCAGGCGGGCGGGTGTGTCGTGTGAGGCCGGTGGGTGAGGAGGACGAGCGAAGAGAGTTCGTTAGCAGCCCAGGTGGACTGCCAAGAGCTAGTGTCGCGCTAGGGCGTGGTCTGTGTCGGCCCCGGGGTCGACGCGACCCTCTGCGTCGTGCACATTCCCCACCACTGCCCGCCAATGTGAGGAAGAGAGCGAGCAGCCAGAGCCTGGCGTGAACGAGTGCTGCATAGACATGGCTGCCGACGACGCTCCCAATCAGCCGCCTGCTGCCGGTAGCGACAAAGTGTCTGCGCCTGCGCCTAAACCTGCGGCGGCGACCTTTAGTTCTTTTATTAATAGTGAGTCGTCCCATGCAACGGCGCCGACTCTGCTAAGCCATAGTCAGAGAATACAACGGGCAAAAAGTTCGCACCCAAAGCCGCACGACGACGACCTGCCGCTGCTGCTGCACCCACTCCTACACCTTCTGCGCCTGCCGAATCGCAAACTTCACAGGCCGAACCAGAACCCTCGAATGCGCCGGCGACTGAGCCTCCGACTACCGCCGAGCTACCTACACCAGCCGCGACCCAAGAACCTACCACAGCGACTACTCCCCAAGCTGTCCCCCGTACAGCCGAGTCTTCCACAGCGCCTCCGCAACCGACCCCGAACCCCACCCAGCCACTGCCTACTCCAGCGCCTACCAATACAGACACCCAGACACAAGCCGAGAAGGAGCCCCATGTCGCTGTACAGCCTTCGACAGACCGGGGTCTCACTACCCAATACTTGGAAGATGCAGGCGATGGCGGCAGGTCACCTAAGCGGCGCCGTATAGAACCACCCGTACAGCTGGGTACACCTGCGAGTCAAGCAGTTACTACAAATGGAGAAGATACCACGGGTCCGTCACAGTCGGTACAACGAGAAAACGGAGTAGCTGCACAACCACAGCCAGAGGTCGAAGCTACGGCCGCTGTCGATGCGCCGGCACCAGCGAACAACGCCGGCGAACAGACTGCCGATCCGAACGTATCAGCCCCTGCTGCAGATTCCCAGGCCCTTCCACAACCGCGAAAGAGGAGGAAGCTTCCATGGGCAGCGGTGAACCACCCTCCAGAGGGCGAAGAAGAGGCTGCGGCTGCTGCGCCGACTCGAAAGCCTCGCCAACCACGCAAGAAGAGGGCCGCTGCAGCAGATCCAGATGCAGAACACGTCGAACAAGAAGGGGAAGACGAAGAAGAGGCTCAGCCCACCCGGAAGCGAGCTGCCGCCAAGCCCCGTGCAAGAAAGAAGGCCACCGAACCCGCTACACAAGATGGCGAGGAAGCTCCAGCGCCAGCAAAGAAAGCCAGGAAGCCAAGAAAGACCAAGGGGGCTCTGAGCAGCGAGGTCGTCGAAGGCCCAGAAACTGAAGTCGGCCGCATAGCTGATGAGATTGTAGCAGCAGCCGTGCGTCGCAAGCCCAAAGCAAAGAGGAGGAGAAGGGCCACTCCAGAGGGCGAAGAGGTCGATGGAGTTGAAGGCGAAGAAGGCGCAGTCAGGGAGAAGAAACGGAAGGGGCGACCGCCACGAGAGCCCACACCATCCGATGCCGAAGACCAGACGATTGACCCCAACGAAACCTATATGGATACTTTAGCAGCCCGGGACCTTCGCGTTGGAAAGCTGTCCTCACGGGAAAAGCAAATGCGTACCATTGATTGGGATGCTGTTAAGCAACGTCGAAGAGAAGAAGACAACAAGGACATCCCTTCGAAAGCAGAGCAAGAAAAACAAGACAGACTTTTGGCAGAAGCAGGAGCAGAGCTGGCGGTTTCACAGGTTGAACCGGGACCCAGGTTTCGTGTGAACGCAGCAGGCGAGATGGAAATGGATCCCACCACTGTATTTATCGACCGAGAGGGCGACGCAGACCGTCTCATTAGCGACATGACCGTCGTTGAAGACCAAGACATCACCGCACGCCTCACAACCCGCAGCTTCATGAAGAACAACAAGCGCTTCCCCAACGAGTTCCTCCTGCCCGGCCAAGGACGACGATGGACCACGGACCTCACGAACCTGTTCTACGAGGGCCTCAGGTCCTTCGGCACCGATTTCCAGATGATATCCCAAATGTTCCCCGGCTTCACCCGCCGCTCCATCAAAACCAAATTCACCCGCGAAGAACGCGACAACCCCGACGACATCCGCGCCGCTCTCCAAGGCCGCTGCGAGATCAACGGCGATGGCTGGAATACGTTCCTACAGAAATCGGAAAAGACCGAGGCCTCTTTCGCCGACACGGACAGGATCAAGCGCGAAATGGCGGCAGAGGAAGCAGAGTATGCGGAGAAAATCGCCAAGGCGAAAGCGGAAGCACAGGAGAGGAAACGCCAGAGGGAACTTGCTGGTGTTGATCAGGATGGAAATCCGATTGGTGACGGCGCGAATAAGGAGAATGGGAAGGGGAAGAAGAAGAGGGGGAAGAATAAGCAGGTTGCTTTTCAGGAGGAGCAGGGCGTGGAGATTGTGGGCGAGATTGGGGATGATGATACTTGGGGTCAGGAATAGGCGCGGAATGGCAGGTTGCAGTGCGTGGGATGTGATACGGTCAAGTCGATGATTGATGGATATGATACCCTATAGATTCTACGGCCTCAGGAGGCAAACGAAAGGCACAATTGATTGGCGATGCTGCATGAAGGTTTTGGAAGGTGCAATGGCTCCTGAGGCTGATGTTTGTTGTGGCTGCCTGCTCTTGTCTACACAGCCCCGCTTGGTTCCTTCCCCGCACAGCATAGATGTTGTTCTACGCCGTTCCTTCACCTCACAATCGAGACATTTCCCGTCATCATTTGTGCGCCTGTTGTTCAGCATCGACGTACGCTATGCTGTGCCACTTTTGTCAAGACCTCGTGTTCATACCCGCAGAGGAGCTCGACGCGCAAGATGCTGCCGCTTGGTCAACATGCCCAGAGCCTGTATACAAATACAACTGGGAAACAAAACTTATAAGCGTACATCAACCTTCACGAAAAGCACTGGAACTCTCAGCAGGTCAAGGGTGTCGAGTATGTGCCATGTTCTGGCTCCACTTGTTTCAAGACACCGGGTCTGTTGGTATGCATTGCGATAGCGACCACGAAGTCGCACCTGTCTTTGTCGAGGTAGCGGAGAGTACGTGGCATAAGGAATTTGAGTCGCCGATTGAAGGGGCGTACATAATGAAGCTGCATTGTGGTAAACAGTTAGCTTCACTCAGGATATATAACCCTATCTCTGGTATGTCATATAAGCATGTGTCATGAGCCTGGCTAACATGGGATGCAGACGATATAAGCACTATGCTTGATGTCTCCTGCGTTCTCTCGTCGCGCTCTAAAGAGCAACATAGTCCAATTGGTTCAGCCGTCGACAGCCACACAGGTTCTGACTATAACATGGATTTAGTAAAGACATGGATTCGAGACTGTCAGAAGAAACATAGCATTTGCAACAAGGAAGTTTTGTCGCAAACTCCACCATTAATGCCGACAAGGGTGATCGAAATCGAACCCGATGGCCAAGCTCGTCTCACGGAAACGATGGGAATGCGAGCAGAGTACTTAACATTAAGTTATTGCTGGGGCCAAGGAACGAAACTACTTTGCACTAGAGGCTGTGGTCTATACGAACAGTTCAAACAAAAGTTACCAGTCGATGGTGCAATGCCCAGAACCTTTAGACACGCTTTCCAGGTTACCAGGGCGCTTGGGTATCGCTACCTATGGATAGACGCTTTGTGTATCATCCAAGATGATTCTGAAGACGTGGGAAAGGAGATGGCTATGATGGGAAGCATATATCGGCAGTCGACCTTAACCATATTCGCAGATAGGGGTCCAGATACAGACGCAGGACTCTTCTCTAAACGCGACGCCCGACACAACAAATCGTGTAATGTTCGAATGACTCTGAAGCGGGACAGCATATATCTACGAAGATACATATCGATCCAAGATTTGAATCAGTACCGTCCCGGTTTTCTACAAACAAGAGGATGGATTCTCCAAGAAGAGGTGTTGTCAGGACGTTCATTGACTTTCAAGTCTAAATCAGTCGAATGGTCTTGCGTAACGACCTTTGCACGCGAGTCCCATCCATGTATGGACACACTGAGCTCGTTAGAAGATCAGGAAGAAGCCAGTAAGGGCATATATCACGCAACTAACCAAGCAATGCGGTTGATAGTAAGACATCCAGACATATTCAACAAGCCACCGCCTTTCTCATCTTCGGTACGACGCAATCACTTCGACGTATGGTACGAAATGGCTAAAGACTACAGTCGAAGGGTATTGAGTGTTGACAGCGATAAGCTACTTGCAGTCGCAGGCTTGGCAAGTCTTATGCAGCAGAACTACGATCTCACCTATGTGACTGGCTTATGGCGAGAAGATCTTCAGTTCGGATTATGCTGGTACGTTACATCGCGGAATGTTATGTTCCAAAAAAACGGTCCAAGGTCCATTACAGAGAAGTTCCCTGATTACCTTGCGCCGACTTGGTCCTGGGCCTCCGCACACGGTATGTGTGTGGACTTCCACGAACCTCGCTCAGATCGCTCTCCAGAAGAAGGGTTACAGATTGTCAACGTGGAAGTCTTTCATCTACCAGGAACTCCCGCAACTTTCGGCTACATCAAATTCGCTAAACTGTCTATCTGTACCAAGATGCGGCAGATAACTCTGGCACCGTTTGGACCAAGATGGAAGCAGACTATCCGCCGTGGGTATGATAGGGAAAAAGATTGTCTGCGCGTTTATACATTCGACACACTTACGAGGTCCTGCGTTGGATGTGCTTTCCTTGATTCTGTAAAGGTCCACGAGGATGTGTTAAGACGATATCAGGATCGTCGAATCAACGCCCACAGCTATCCGAAAGCCGAATTTACTCGTAGTAAGCCGTTTGGTCCCCGTAAATCTCCATACGACGAGTATGAATGCTGGTGTGTACCCTGCCTCGTGGAGCCAGGTCTTCATGGGGACTGTAATATAGCAGCCCTTGTTTTGACTCAGCTCAACGCCGATAAACAAGAATACCGCAGGATAGGCTTGATGCTTGTCGGGGGTGCGGACTGGAAAACGTTCCTGATAGGCGAGGATGTACACGAAGACCGTGAAATAATTCACATCCTCTAAGGATGTCCGGCATATGAAGAAAATTGCTGCACTCTTTTTTTATGTCTGCTACCCGGTCCACGCTCGGAGCGAAGACTATTACTGGAGCAAACGGAGCGACTGTTCTGGTTACTCGGCTCATGCAACACGCTATCACCTCTATTCATCCCACCCCGTCCTCGCCTTAATAGCATCAGCCGCCTTCTCTGCAATAGCATAAACCGTCGTACAAAGATGCGTCGCCGGCAGATACGGCACAATACTAGCATCAACCACACTCAACTTCCCAACGGCATAAACCTTCAAATCCGTTCCCACGACACCGCCAAGTTCTTCCGGAAGCATCGACGCCGTACCCGCCATATGAACGAACGTAGGATCCATCGTACTGCGCAGATACCTTTCGATCGCAGCATCGCTAGTAACATTGGATCCAGGCGAAAGTTCAACGGCGCCGAGACCAGCGAAAGAGGAGAGAGTGTTGAAGCGCCGCGAGAAGCGTACCATTTGCACGGCGAACTTGATGTCCAGGGGATTGGAAAAGGTGCGCCAGTCGACCAGTGGGCCAGATGAGGGATTAGATGGATCGATGTTTACGGTACCGCGACTCAATGGGCGCATGATCGCAGCGTTTCCTATGGGACCTTCTGCAAAGGTGAATTCAAAGGCTGCAGCTTCGTCGCGTGCGAGATATTCGGCGGTGATGTTGTGTATGGCTTTGGCGCCTGCTATGAGCGTTTCATCGTATTGAGCTGGGAGGTAGGGAGTTGGGTCTTGAGCCGCGACAGCATCGACGAGTGTTTGCCAACCTTCTGGATCGACGGTTTTGAGGGGTAAGAAAGCAGCTTGGTTGCCTCGCGATGTTGTAAGAGGACCTTCGCGCGACTGAATGTACTCTTTCTCGGCTTCGGCGTAGAAGGTCTGGTTGGTCGCTAGAGCCCCAGCGGTGGGAAAGTATGGGTTGGTCGTCCAGTTCCAGACACTGCCTCCAAAAGGATGGTCTTGAAAATTTGCACCTACACCAGGTAGATGCTTCTTGACCGCAATGCCAGCCCCTTCAAGAACACTCTTTGGACCAACACCGCTGCGTTGCAATAACCACGGAGTCCAGATCGCACCTGCCGCAACGATGACCTCCTTCCTCGCCCTCACAACGCTCTTCTCCGCGCCTCCCACCTTCACCATACTCACGCCCTCAGCCTCCAACTCACCACCCTCCTTGAACAAAATCTCAGTCGCCTGATACCCCGTCAAAAGATGATAATTCCCCCTCTTCGCATACGGTTCATAATGCGCCGTCCTTGCATAACTCCTCGTCCTCAACACGGGATCCAACGCACTCGGCGCCATAATACTACCAATCGCATTCGCAGCTGCAGCTTCCTTCGGCTTCTCCACACCAATCTCTTTCCACGCATCCCATAACCGGTTTTGCCCGGGGAACTGGTATGGCGGGAATGAAACCTGGATTTCGCCATGTCCGCCATACGCCGCATCCACGTCCCACGTATAATTGTACTTCTCCGCTACGTCCTCACTCGGTGGCGTGAAAGTCACGGACTTCTTAAAATAAGGAAGCAGGTCTTTGAAGCCCCAACCTTTGTTCCCGAGGGCTTCCCATGCATCGTAGTCGGCTTCGCTGCCGCGGTCGAAGAACATGCCGTTTACGGCACTGCTACCACCTACTATGGCGGCTGCGAGAGGGCTCGTGGTGTCATTGTTGAGGCCAGGATTGGGGACGGGGGTGAAGTTGAAATAGCGCTCTGGGGTTGGAGCGAAGCTTAGGGTGTTGGCTGGGATGAGGATGCTTGGGTCGTTGACGAGGTTGCCGTATTCGATTACGAGGACGGTGTCTGTGTGATGTTAGGAAGAGAGGGTATGGGGCTGATGTGGGGGATTACGACTCACGTTTTCCGTTCTCTGTTAGTCTGTTTGCGACTGTGAGGCCGGATGTGCCTCCTCCGACGATGATGTAGTCGTACGTTTGGTTCAGTGGTGCGGTGATGTGTATAGCTGAGACTCCTGCTGCCGCACAAGTGCTAACGAGCAGTTGAACGAATGAAGACACCATCTTCGCTACAATTTGGCCCTGACCAATTCACCTCTTCTTTCCCAGGCGAGCTACCTTATATACCCATCTATACATGCATCCCCATGTCGTCCCACAACGCACACCAGCTCATTTCAGCAACCCTTCTGCATCATGCACATCCAAATTATCCATACAAGCTCTAACCCTCTTCTACCCCAGTGATCAGAAGTCAAAGAAACCTACAAGACCCCCAAACGCACCTCCAATGTATACCACACGGCCTATACCCGCCGAACGCCGCTTCAACGCAGCACCCCTACCTAAGTACCTCCCCTTACATAAATACTCATCCCTCACCTTCCACATCGATTCTACATCCGATCCTTCAGGAAAGATGAGCCGCCATCGCCCCACACCCGCAAGCGGACGGCAGAATTACCGCCCGTTCCAGAGCCGCGGAGTCTCCACAGTACATGCAGGAGAGCAGGGTACTGAAGCATTTTACATTGAGGTGTGGAGGCGGGTAAATCAGTAAACGAGCCTCGCTTGTATGTATGTGAGATGGCGGATCTGTAGTCCGCGGAGGAAGGAACGTGTCGATAGAAGATGTCGATGGGTGTTTTGCTTGTCACGGATATCGGACCTGTGAAAGAGAATGTTCAAAATGTCTTCCACGTCCATTGACTAGCAGCGATCACTCAACATCTATACTCATATCCGCAAATCCTCGCTCTCTACCTCCTCTCCCCTTCTTTAGCATGATGATGTTACAAACAACGAAAAGTCAAAAGATACCAGAAACAATGATAGCCAAAATACCATTCCAGCTACCAAGAAAACAAAACTCCCAAATGATGCAAATCTTCCGCTCATCCGTTTTTTCTGTAATGCGCTCGAGAACCAAGAAAGGTTTGTTTCGTCCTCGGGGTATCGTAAAATGCCTTAAAACCGCCCTTCTGTAATGGGCAGGCAGAGCAGACAGGCATGGCAATATGACAAACAAGCAAAACGCCGCGCAATGCACAATTTCTCTCCCTGTTGGGCCCCAAATGGCGAAGAATTACAATGAAAAGAAAAAAGGACAGAAGAAGAAAAATGTGAAGTTGAGTTGTTCTTGAAAGAAGTTGTTGTTGATGAAGTTGTTGGTTTCAAGTGTCGAGTCCCCTCCTCATCCACGCCAAACTCGTAAGTGCTGATGCTGAAATAGTAGGGCGCGTCTAACGTCTCCTCTTGGTATCTCCATGGGCTTGATCCTGGGGATCGCGACCCCTCTTGCGTGCTTCATCGCCCTGACTGCTTCCTCCGCCGCCACCACGGCTCCTCCGATCCGAGCGTCCTTCTTCCCTGGCTCCTGAAGAGCGTCCGTCGTCACGGGAGCCACGCTCGCGTCTGCTGCTTTCGCGAGGCTCACGTCCTGATCTTGGTTCGCCGTCTCGTTCGCCGCGCTCGCGACGGCTACTTTCTCGGTTGCTGCCGTGTTTCTCGCGGCCGCGGTCGGAGCCACGCTCGCCCTCTGCGCGCTCAGAAGGGGCAGTGCGGCTGCTTCGCTCTTCGGGATGGCGTCCAGATCGATCGGGTGAGCGCTCGCGGCCTGATCGGTGTCGATGACTGCGAGATTCTGAACGACCTTCTTCTTGTAGAGCACCCTCCATCCTGCTCGGTACATCTTCATTTCGACTGCTCCTCGGGTGCTGGTTGGGCGTTGAATCAAGCGAGGGCGGTGGCATTGGGCTCGTCATGTCTGATCCGTCCATTGGGCCGTTGGCGCGAGTAGCACCGCGACCACGCACCGGAGGGTTGGAATGAGGTGCATTGCGTTCGCTTGATCGATCGGCAGGTGCGTTTCCAGTCAATACGTTGTTGATGGCTCGTAGTGGGTTACCGGCATTCCTAGGTCCTCCGGGACCTGTGGGAGGGCGCGGACCGACTGGTGATGACGGGATAGGACCTTGAGGAGCGCGACCTCCGTTACGCGGACCGCTTGGAGCATTCGGCATGTTGGTCTGAAGAGGTGGCCCGCTTGGTGCTCTGCCCTCGATGTGTGCCAGCCTACTAGGATGGATACCTGCTGGTAGTGATGCTGCGGGGCCGGTGGGTGCACTCGGTGTTGAAGGCTGCGATGTTCGATCGCTGCGTGGGCCAGATGGCGGGGGCGCCGGCTCTGCAGGCTGGTTCAGCCGGCCATAATTGGGGTCTTGTGCCCGTGGTCCAGGTGTAGGCTGGAACATCTCCCGCGAAGCCCGGGATGTTGCAACGGCTTCGTTGCGACCACCACGCGGACCGGTTGGAGCACTGGCTCCCGGATCCTCACGGTGGTTTCGCCCACTAGAGGGTGGCATCTGAGGACGCTCATCCCGAGGATCCCGTGGCGCATCATTCCGACCATGATATCCAGGAGGCGGGCGATCGTCGACTCGACGATCATCACCACGTCTATCATCGCTATGACGCGGCGAGTTCAAACGAGAATCTCGCTCGCCACGGTTGTCGCGGTCAGGCCTCGGTGGACCATGCCTGCCATGCTCTGCTTGATTGATCAAGGCAGCACGCGCTGGGTTGACTGTAGGTTCTTCTTTGGCTGCGGCTGGCACCGGTGGGAGTCGCGAAGATCTATCGTTTTGTTCCGCAGCATACGGGGCGTTGACTGGAGGACCATCTCGGCGGTATTCGTTGGCCAATGATGAAGTAGACGGCATCCTGCGAGGCTCCGTTGCTGCAGGTGCAGGATAACCTCGGGGATCAGAACGCTCACGTGAATCCCGCGCATCGTAAGGGTCTCTTGGATCCCATGTGGGCGGTCGTACCGCAGGCGCTCGCCCATCTCGCGGAGGTGCTCGCATAGCCCGCTCATCGTAATCGTAATCGCGTTCTCTGCCAGACCATTCGCGATGATCGGCCGCTGGAGGCATCCTCTCGGGTGTTCTGCCACCAGGTAGCGGTCGCCCACCGCGCCGACCTGGTGACGCCTCACGCTGACGTGCAGCATCTGCCGTACGATCTAGTCGGCCATATTCGGCTGGGGGTCCCCGACTGTCATATCGACCATGCGCGGCCTCTGGCGTACGGTCGACCATGGGGCGTTCCGATGGTCGTGTCCTCGGTTGCGAGTCTGGTCGTGTTGGCAGTGCGTGCGTTCTACCGACTGGGGTGTTGTGACCAGGCGTGTTTCTGTTATCTGGTCGCAGCGGAACAGACGATGGATGCATCGGAGGGCCCTTGATTGGAGGCCTGCCAGAACCTGTCTCCGGTTGTGATGGCGTGGAAGGCCTACTGTCGGAGGCTTTTGGCGTTGGCCTGAATGGTTCTCTGTCTCTCGAAGGCGCAGGTGTTGTGCTATCATGCTTCGACCTGTCGTTTGATTCGCGTAGTGGAGTACCGTTTCTGGAAGACGTCGATCAGTTTCACCGTTGGTAATGTGGGCGCAATTTGTCAACTTACGTTTCGGGCTTTGGCTTAAAGGCAGGCGCAGATGCGTCGAGCTTCGTGTCCTGTGGCTGTGGAGTCTTACCCTTCTCCGCAGTCGACTTCTCACTCCCATTTGTCGGAAGTCCAGGGGGCGCCGGTACCTGAGGCGTATTAGCTCGCTGTCGTGGACGTGTCGATGGAGATGAACTCACGTTGCGGAAGACATGGTCCTCCTGCCAAAGCTTCTCTCCTTTGAGGATGGGACCAAGAACAGATTCCAAAGCTCTCTTAAGATCCTGCCTCTCCTCTGCCTCCTTCAAGTGAGCAACCGTCTCCTTCAGCTCTGTGCCCAAACTCTTCACTCTAGGGAAATTGGTACCCAGTGCGTGAAGGACGTTGATAGCATTACGCATCTGCATATAGTCACCGCTCTCCAGGCATGTCTTGAGCGCAGCTGCGAGTGCCTTATGCCACTTAAACAAGACCATGCAAAACTGATCGTACGTGAAGAAGCTTGTCGGGTTCCGTTCACCATCGTAGCCCCTGCCGAAGCCAGGAAGGTTCTTCTCTGAACCTTGGGCGCGCTTGACAAAAGCATCATCTTTGTTCTCTTGCCAGACTTGCAGCTCACGCAGGATGCCACCGAGGAAACGGCCGAAAGATGAGGACTCTGCTTCGGTGTACATGCTGATGATGGACGTAAGTCTGTTGGCGTTGAAGAGCATATCCAGTAACCTGCTCATGCGGAATCCCGGCACGCCTGAGCTGTGCATGAAAATGAGCATAGAGAACGCATACTGTGCGTCTTCTTGAGATATGCGACTGCGAGGAATGAAGCAATCCTGGAGCAGAGCGTTGTGCAGGAGATCACACTGCGGACCCATCATTGGAATACCCTCGAACCATCGGCGCAACTCAACGCGGAGACTATCCTGCGTCGCAGCGTGGTTCTTGGTGACAGTTTGTTGTTCTTCCTTAAGCCTGGCAATGTTCTCCTTGATACCCTTCGTTGCTTCGGAATCAGCTTTGGGCACGTTAGGTCGGTAGCCGCGGCGCTCGGGAACAGGAGCGGGCAACTGTCGCTCCAAGTTTTCGATCGACTCCTTGTATAGCTGCTTGATGCTCTCAGCATCAGCGACAACGTCTGGCAGAGACAACTGCCAGAAGGTGACGTAATAGGACAGGCAAGGGTAGTCGCCGAAGGCGTCGGGTAGCTGTTGTTTGAGCTGGCTCGCAAGACCTTCAATCTCCGCGTTTGGTACATCGGCCAAAGATAGCTTATCCGAAGTAGCACCAGTAGACTCTGCGGGCGCGGCGGAGTCTTTCATTTCCACGTCTTCGGCTGGTTTCGATGCCTCTTGCTCTCCGTTTACGGCTGGCGCCTCTTCCACACCACTCATGGCAATGTCGCCATTCGTCTGCGCATCGAGGACTAACTTCGAGCGTTGCTCAACCCGGAAGGCATTAGCCTTGGCTGCTATGCTCGTACGAGCGATGGTAAAAGCGACATCTGGCGCGATGTGGTAGTCCGCTATCATCTCTACTAGAGAAGGGAAAACAGCGTCAAAGTCGTCCACAGGGAGGTATGTTCGGAGGAGCTCCATATACTGGAGCATGTCGGAGCGCAACTTGTCGACGGTGAAGAGTACAGGCTTGTCGGGTACGTCGAGCTGGTCGTTGCGGTGAATGTACGCCTCAACGTGCTGCGCAAGTGCGATGAGGATTTGCGGTCCTAGACCCGTCTCTTTTAGACACCTGACCAGACGCCTTGCGGACGGAGCAGCCTGGGTACGGTTGTCGGCTAGGCGATACTGCAAGGTGAAAGTGCGGAGCGCAGGGCCTGCACAAAGCGCCAGAGCCATCGACTCCGAGACGGATCCGCTAAGGCTGATGCCACCCATGGACTTGACCATCTGCTCGAGAACGTCCAACATGTACAGCTCGCCTTGGGCGTTCAGAAGTTGGTGTGTCGTGAGCTGCAGGATCGGAACAGGATCCATCAAGTTGTATCTTGCGTAAGCTTTGCCGACGAAGGTAGCAATGTTCTTCAGCCACGGTGCAGACAGCATACCATCTTCCTGATTTGACTCTTTATCAGGGCTCAAAAGGTATGTAACCAGCGTCCAGGTCAGGACGTCGTATCCAAGTAAGGTAAGATACCTGCTGCACTCTACCAAAGCAGTGATCATGTTGGGGTAGTTGACCAACTGCTTGACTGTGGTCCTGAAGACGATTCCGGGGCTGGCATACGAGATCTTGGCAATCTTACGACCGTACTCTTTAGTGTTGGTGGCGGAAACGCGACTCAGGGTCTTCCTGGTTTCGACTTCGACTTGCTTGAAAGCTGTCTTGATCACTGGCTTGAGCATTCCGTTGAACCACTGCTGATAGATGGTATACCGAGTGGCTGTATCGAAATGTCTGAACAGATCCCAAGCCTCATTGATGACTCCAGGATTCCTACCGGTGAAGGTGATTGCGGGTGCAATGAAGGTTGCTGAAAAGTCTACCCATCGCTTTCGATTCACTTCGGAGGGGTTGTCCGCTAGGTTCTTCTTTCCGATGCGTATGATCTTGGTCAGGAGGACACTGTCCTTACCACACTCTGGTCCCACCAAACCTAGGAGGCTGGTGCAGAGCTTGATCACATCGTCTACCTCTTGGCACACGGGAACGCTGTCGACCCAGTCTTCCCAATAGAATTTGTAATCGATTCCTCCATCTTGGTCTTTCTTGTCGGGCTTGGCCCATCGTAGAGTTCGTCGAGGAACGTAATCGCTTGGCCTCATAATACCCCGGTTGCCAGCACCCTTGGTAGCGATGACGGTTTCTTCGGCTACGGCTGGCCTGGATTCCTCGTAAACCTTACTCAGAGAGTGGTGCGCTAGACGGAAGATGAGGTCCAGCAGCTCGGGGTAAACGTCGAGCATCCAAGGATGCCGTCCTAGGATGAACAGAGCTTCCGGTAGTGCGCCGATGCACAGTAAACTCTTCAAGAGGGTAAATTTCTGGTCCTTGGGCTCGGGTAGGGCCTTCTTCTTATCGGTGGGCTCGTCAGACTTGGTAGGCGTGGTTCGTGCAGTATCCGACTTGGACCTGCTCTCAGCATCTCTAAGACGAGAAACAGCTGGCGGGCCGGGGGTCTCGTCGGGCAGTGCGCCGGCCATTGTCAGCGCGTTGGCGACTGCACCTCGTTCACTGTCTTCCTTCTCTTTCTTGGCCTTGAGGAGCTTATCCTTGTGGGCAGCCATATCTTCCTCCAGAGGATACAAATGTGGGTAGAGATCCAGCATGGAAATGAAGCCAATCTTGATCAGAAGCGCAATCAGATACATGAGGTTCTCGGGGAGTTCGTCGGAGGCATCGCGGACATCGGATGCGTAGAACTGAAGCTTGAAGCCAAGCAGTTGAGCGGCGATGCTGTTTCCGGAGGGAGGGAGTGTCTTGGTCTGCTCCATCCACTCGTCGGCCCATTTCCGAGCTGCCTGCTGATTCGACAGCGTCGCGCCCTCTGCGGGTAATGTTTGGTCCGGCTGCCGGTTGTTCGCAGTGATACGACGGCTTCCAAGCTCAAAGTAGGCCTGGATGCCTGCCCTGTCACCCAACTCGCCAACACGCTGCCAGAATTTGCGATCGCGCGACTCTCGTAGCCGTGATTGTTCATCCTTCTCTTCGTCGGTGTAGTACCACTGTTTCGCATCGGGTCGTGCCCATTGAGGAAGTGTGGGTACTTCGGCCTCGTCCCAGGTAATGTTGTCGAAACCACGTAGCTCGGGCCACCATGCGCTCGTTCGCAACAGCTTGACGAAGAACCTGCCGTGCTTGACAAGAAGGTTTGCAAACACATCCAGTGTCACGTCGAGGACTCTTCCAATGTCTAGATCGAATGCGCCGATGAAGGCATTCACCCGTTGCCAGGTCTCGGCGACGACTTCTTGTGTAGGCGGTTCGTTGTTCACGGTGGTGAAGTACTCGGTCATGAGCTTGGAGTAGCCCTCGGTCTCTTCGCGGAGGAGGTTGTAGTTGGACTGTCGGTACAGGGCGTGGGTTGCTTTGCGAACGGCCATCTTGGAGAAGCTGTCACGGACGAGGCCTAGGGACTTTAAGAGGTCGTTCTCCAGCTCGGCTCGCATGCGCGCGGGCTCGATGTCGGTTGCGACAAGCATTTGCCGTACGGGCGCGTCTTTGCTTTCATCCTGCGTAAGCGTGCTGAGCGTGCTCAGCGTGTCGAGAAACGTCGAGACTGGGTCGAGCTGGTCGTCAGCTGGGGCGGAGGTGATGTCGCGTACTATGGATCCCAGTTCACCAGCGTCTAGCAGCTGGTGCATAGACGCCTCGATAATTTCAGTGAATATGACCGAGAGGGTGAGTCTGTCGCCTGCACCCTGTGCAGCCACAGCAGCCGTCACCACAGCGTCGCGTGCCTGGCCATTCCAGTGAGCGACGCGGTCTGGTGTCAGGAACTCATTGCTGGCTGGCACCTCGCGCGGTGTAGAAGGCGTCGAGGGCTGTGACGGAGTGGGCGCCGGCGCAGGAGTGGATGGTGCGGCCTGAGGTTGCCGACTCAATGGGAATGTGTTTGCGGGTGGAGACATGGCAGTCGGCGATGGGTGTGAGACATTTGGACTTTGCGGAACACTCGAGTTGCCACCGCGTCCATTGTTTCTGCTCCCACGCCTGCCACCACCGCCGCCGCGCGGGCTGTTGGCTTGCTGCTGCTGGCCGTGCGAGAGTCCGAGGTTTTGGGGGCGATGCGGCGACGGTCGTCCGCTGCGGTCGTCGTCCTGGGAGTAGGTGCGGTCGCCCCGCTTGCGCTTGGGTGGAGGAGGCATGATGGCACCCTCTTACGATCGAGAGACCGGCGCGAAAAGAGAGTCGATGCAATGTGTGGAGAGCATGCGGCGCTGGCTCGCGATTGGGCCGGGGTGTCGGTGATGGATAGGCGCGCGCCGCAGTCGACAATTAGTGTAAGGACTGGATGAGGCGGCAAGTTGATGCAGAGTTGGCAGCGCCAAATCGGGGAGTCGCGTTGGGGCGGGCGCGGGTTGATGATGGAGCGTGTCTCGATTTCGTGAGGCTCAAACCCTGGGAGCTCTACTAGCGCAATGGCTGACGTGAACCCAAGGCTGCAACCGTGCATTCCCCATCCGTCCTCCACCAGACAATAGCAAGACACGTTTTCACCCTCACTTCAGACTACAATAGGCAACAATTGGTCGCACAATCCTGTTTATGAGTCTATGATATTACGGCGTATTAATTCTAAGCACCATAGAAATATACGAGACTTAAGCATCACGGCAATATGCATAATGACGATGTACTTGCGCAGACGAATAATGAATAAATTTCGCTGCGCTGTCAACGCGTCGTCCAACTACATAGGTCTCAAATAACAAAACGAGCGACCAGACCTTCCCAGACATTGCTTGATCGAGATATCTAAGCCGCAGCAGCAACGGCCTGAGCTGTAGCCTTGCGCTCATTCTCAAGCACAGCCTCGAGAATTCCGGTCGCACCCTGGCCAGACTTCATCTCGTTAATAACGTCAGTCAGACCGAGCTGTTCGTCCGTCCAGAGAGGAGCGACCTCCTCCTTGCCAGCCTCACCGACGCCGATGAAACCGCCCTCGGCAGCCCATTCACTTGTGCGCTTGATGCCCAGCTGGTTCCAGACAGCGTCGACGGCCTCAACCAGGTGGTCGCGGTACTCACGGATGTGGCCTGGGGTAGGCGTAATGCGCAGGCGCTCTTGGCCGACAGGAACGGTAGGGTAGTTGATGGCCTGGACGTAGATGCCCCAGTCTTCCATAAGCATGTCGGACGCCTTCCTGGCTACCTCGGCGTTTCCAACAAGGACCGGAATGATGTGGCTAGGGTTCGGGATAACGGGAATGTTCTTTTCGTTCAATGCATCCTTGACTGCACGAGTGTGCAGTTGCTGCAGGCGTCGATCGCCCTGGTAGTTGGCCTGGTATTCGATGGCGGTCTTGGCACCTGCCATGGTCGCGGGCGGGAGCGAAGTAGTGAAGATGAAGCCAGGAGCGAGCGAGCGAATGGTGTCGACGAGTTTGGTAGAGCCAGCAATGTAGCCACCAACGCAGCCGTATGCTTTTCCGAGAGTGCCAGTGATGATGTCTACGCGGTCCTGAACGGTGCCTTGGGGTCTGCCTGCCTTGTGGGCTTCGAAGTCGAGATGCTCAGCAACACCAGCGCCGTGTGGTCCGTACATGCCTACGGCATGGACTTCGTCCAAAAAGGTGATGGCTCCGTACTTTTCAGCGAGATCACAGATGCCTTCAATGGGACCAATCGAGCCGCACATGCTGTACACACTCTCGAATGCGATAATCTTGGGGTATTCGGAAGGAATTGATTGCAGCTTCGCCTCCAGATCTGCGAGATCGTTGTGCTTGAAGACCATCTTCTTCGCGCCCGAATGGCGGATGCCTTGGATCATAGATGCGTGGTTCAGGCTGTCCGAGAGGATGACGCAATTGGGCAGCTTGCTTCCGAGAGTCGCAAGCGTCGCATCGTTGGCTACATAGCAGGATGAAAAGACAAGCGCAGCCTCCTTGGAGTGAAGCTTCGCGACCGTGTCTTCCAATGCTACAGCGTGCTGGTTGTGTCCGGAGATGTTCCTGGTACCTCCGGCGCCGGCTCCGTAGTTGTCCAGGGTCTCGTGCATCGACTTGAGGACGTGCGGGTTGCGGCCCATGCCGAGGTAGTCGTTGGAGCACCAAACCGTCACCTTGTCCTCTGGCGACTCCTTGTGGGCGCGCGGGAACTCCTTGGCCAGGCGGTTGATGTTGTTGAAGTAGCGGTACGACTTGTCCTTGTGCTTCTTGTCCAGCTCATTGTGGTAGAAGCCTTCGTAATCGAACGTAGCGGCTTGCGGGGCGGATGCGGATGCGACATTCGAGGGCTTAGTGTTCGCAGGCTTCAGGGCTGCGTGCGGGAATGGTGGTCCTGGACGATGTTAGCCTACAGTTCGACATTTTCTGCTACCTCCAAGACGCGGTCTCTCGGCTTCGTGGGATATTCGTACCCTGCTTGCCCCTTAGGCTCTCAAGATCCACAGCCTGGGCTTCCTTGGACGCCGTTGTGTGTAGCCTGGCGCGGTTCACGCGGGTGTGGTAAGCACGCACACCGCCGAAAGCGCCGGCAAGAGCGTTGTTGCCATTGCGGGAGCTCTGGACGGCAAGCGCCTTGCCCATGATGGGGCAGCGGCGAGCGATGACCTGGAGGTTGGACATGCTTCCAGCGCCGGGGGAAACCTCCTGGCGGGCAGCCGCCGTGGTCGTGGTAGAGAGGGAGCGGAGCGTGGCGGGTGACGTCTTGTGTAAGAACGGGCACATGGACTTCGACTGGCGCAAAAGAGCCTCCATGTTGGTCAAATGCGCGGCGTGGGTGGTTTTCGGGTGTGTTGTAGATGTTTGGGTGGATTGGGTGTAAGGCGAGGTGAGGAAGAGTGCGAGAGAGAAAGATGGTTGGAAAATGTGTCAAAGATGCGACTACATGAATTACATGCGGTAATAGCGCGGAATCTAGCATGCCGGGCGTCGGCATCAAATGCACTCGTCATGATTGGCCCACCTATATTAGCTTGCAGAGCTGCCGACGCCATCCTCATCAGCGGTACGGTACTCCGGAGAGTAATTACTCGGATAGTTCCATAGTTCGCACTGCGTCTGGGAGGGGTCCTGGGTCTGGCTCACGCTGTATCTCGACAGCACCCGCAATGCCGCCTCTCAGCCCCTCCACGATACCTCTAATACGATTCCACGCTTTGCATCAAGTTGCCACCTTTGTTCATCTCATTGCAGAAACCTGGTCGTGTTCCAACTCAATCGTACAACATCTCAACTTCAACTACTCAGATGTAGTCTGTGGTCTTAGCGTACCCCGCCTTTTGCCCGGCGACCTGGCCTCTACCCTAACTCGGAGCCGCCACCGTCCCATTTCGTGAGGTTGATCTCTACGATTCCAAGAGGATCTGCAATCCATAGGCCTGGATAGTACGTCTCTCCAAAACTTTCGTCTGCATACCTCGGCCTGCACTCAGTCATGGTCGTGCTTAGCGTACAGTGCGGAACTGGAAAGTCTTGCCGAAATACGCCGCACGTGGTTCGATAATCCCACTCTTCGGCATCTTTGCTTGAGCCAACATTTCATACTCTGTAAGCAGCCTATCAGACCTGAGGCCTAGACCTTCTTCCTGCAAAACGGCCCTTTCTGGAGAACAGATCTTGACAGAAGATGCCGCTGGTTCAGTCATCGTCGGAGATCTCGATGATCTCGGCCTGAGATGGTTGGTCAGGATGCTGCAGAGCCTTTTCGCTGAACGTCGTCCCCATAATCGTATACACATAGTCGTAAAATGTGCTTGTCTCAGCGGCCCCGCTATCCATACAATTTCTGAGCTCTTCAAGATCTTTCTTAGATGCATCGGGTTCTCGGGAGTAGTTGCTACAGAACCACCAAGACAGGAACAGTTTCGTGAACGTAAGAATTTTTGGCATATCTCGAGGAAGGACGCCCTGCAGTTTGGTTTCTCTTCTGTATAACATGCCGATGCACGCCCGGATCTCTTTGATAAGATTGATCTTTCCAACAAGTCGAATTCGATTACGGATGACTTCGCGGTCGTTGAACTTCATTTCTTGGATGACTTTAGAGACCACGCGCTTGCGGTCAAGATGCTCGATCAGATCTTCCCATTTCCAGCGGCGAACTGTAGCGATCGAGGCGTTCTCAGGCTCATCTCCATGGTTGATAGGTTTACGGGTGGACAAGCCGTCTGGCTCAAGAAGCCCTGGGTGCGCATACATGATTGGCTCTACGCTGTCAGCGATGACTGAGTCTCGTGTCGATGATCGCGTCAAGTCTTCGAGCTGGTGTTCTACTGGATCAGCTTCAGCACCGATATTGATTCCCGATGGCAATGCATATCCATCTTCGATGTCTGACGAATCTGGGGGTGAACCCAAATCGATAATCTCATTCGACGCCTCTGCTTGAAGAGCTGATGTGCTTCGTGGTAGATTCGGTTGGTCGCGCATCGCGGTGTCTTGATCGTCGGGTATCTGCTCTTCATCGCTGTCGTCAACAGGTTCCAGCTTGTAGATGTCGCGTAACCAGGCTGCAAATTCCATGGAGTCGACCGTGACCTCGAGGTTGCTACATTGTCGCCGTACTTGCTCCTGCAGTATGTCACCGTTAGTGAAGACGTCATATCTACCGTCAGGGTGTTATTGCTTACCGCATTGCTTCCTGGAAATTTAACGATCTGGTCGCACAGTCCATCCAGTCTTGACTTGTAATAGGCATGCTCTGTCTCGTACTTTTCCACCAGGGCTTCTCGCTCTCCTCTCGCCTCCGCTTCAGTCCACATAGCAACTGGGTCGTAGTCCACCTCCTCGCCGCGAGCAACACCCTTGTTCGGTCTCCAGGCATTTGTGAAGAACGTAATTCGCTCGTTGATAATGTCGACAATCTTGTCCTCACTCAACTTGGTCCGCTTGCTCGGTTCTTCAACTGCGTTCTCATCCTCATTATCGACTGATCGAGAATCCTCCTCAGCAGCATCCCCCAGCCCGGAATTATCATCCTCTTGTAGGTCGTCCTCGTCAGGCAAGTCTATGATCTGGTCGCCTCCTGCCACGTTCTGCCATCTGAGTAGGTGAGCATAGTCGTCCATGTTTGATAGCGCTGGATGTGAGAGCCAGGTGGCTGCCGTGTTTGATGTTTGGTGATGGCGAGAGATGCGAGATGTTTGCTACAGCAGTCGCGGATTGGACGCCGCGTAGAAGGTGGGGCACCCGTCTAGGCAAGTGCGCGCGGTCACTTGATCACGCGACGAGGGGCAAGCATCACCAAGGCCATCACATTTGACGGTGAAGATTGTTAGCAATGATTGCTGTCACGTCGAAAAGCTGCCAAATATGTGCTTTGAAATGCGCGACCAGGGTCCTTTGGTGCGCCTCGGGCTTCGGCGGGGCAGGATGAGGCAATCGCTCTAGCGCCGACAGCATTTGTAAGTCTCTCTCTTACCTGAGCGATCTACTCTTCTAACGACACCGAAACAACTCAGCCACCGTAAATTCAATGTCGCTCACCGAATATCCGCCAGAGCTGTCTCAACAGGAGGAGCAGTATCTGCTATCCAATCTCAAGGACTGGTCGATTGCTCATGGCTTAGCGGTCCGCCCGGCTCCGTCATTCGTCCAGCCATCACAGGATCCGTCTGGTGTACTCGCAAGCACAGCACCAGTCACCTTGTTTCCAAGCTTATTCCCGCGATCCTGCTTCGAGGAAGGGCTTTCAATACAACAGGCTTACAACGAGTTGTACTCAGCCATTGCCAGGGACGAAACATGGTTGAAGAGCATTGTGGAGGAGCTTGTCCATGTTGACTACTTTGTTGCAAAGTTATGGCAAACCCATCTAGAGGTGAAGAAAGAAGGCTACGTGCAGGACCTCTCATTGGGACTCTTCCGCTCAGACTACATGGTACACCAAGACCCTTCGCAGTCAAATCCCACGTCCGGCTTAAAACAGGTCGAGTTCAATACCATTGCTTCGTCTTTTGGCGGACTATCGGCTCAAGTTTCTGCGTTACACAAGTACCTGCTCACCATCGACGCTTACCCAGATTCAACATCATCTATTATCAAGCAAGAAGCTTTGCGACAGAGCCAGTCAGCTTCTTCCTTGGCAAAGGGCCTCGCTACAGCACACAAGGCGTACGGGACTTCGCGCACCAAGCGTCCCCTATGTGTGTTGTTCGTGGTGCAGAACCCAGAGAGAAATGTGTTTGATCAGAGACATCTCGAATACGCCCTGCTTGAAGATAATGGAGTGCGCTCCTTCCGACTACCTTTCGGAGAGACACTGTCTCACACTCAGCTCGACACAGACCGTACACTGGTCTACACACCACCAAACTCTCCGTCGACGTCGTACGAGGTGACGACAATTTACTTTCGAGCAGGGTACTCACCAGATGATTACTCAAAGGACGAAGACTGGAACGCCCGCACTCATCTCGAAAAGAGCCGTGCTATCAAGTGCCCAAGCGTCTTAACCCAGCTTGCGGGATGCAAGAAGGTTCAACAAGTGCTTGCTACACCGCATTCACCGCACCTCAAGCGCTTCCTACCCGAAGAAAAGGTCGCCGCGCGCGTACTGGAGACGTTTGCGCCGATCTACCCGCTCGACAACAGCGAGGCTGGCGAGGAAGCGAAGAAGCTTGCGACAGACGCCTCTTCGGCTACAAAGTATGTGCTGAAACCTCAGCGAGAAGGAGGAGGAAACAACATTTACCGGAAAGCCATCCCACCATTTCTGCAGAAGCTGCCCGAGACTCATTGGCCGGCATACATCCTAATGGAGATGATCGAGCCACCTCCACTGACAAACGCCATTCTCCGGAACGGTGAGTTGCAGAGGGGTGGCGTGATTTGCGAGCTTGGGGTGTACGGTGTGTGCCTCTGGAGAGACGGAAATGGTGATGGAAACAAGGGCGAGATCCTCGAGAACTGGGAGGCTGGATATCTACTCCGCACCAAAGGTGATCAGAGCGAGGAGGGCGGTGTGGCAGCGGGATTCGGAGCAGTTGACAGCTGTTGTCTGGTGGACGGATGAACACACCGTTGAGCACGTACTGTATGCGCAGCTCGCTACAGCTGGCAAGTTGGTAGGAGCCTTCGGTTAAAACGGTATTCTGAAGCCGTTTGCATCTTCGATCGATCTGAACCAGGAATAAACGATGTGATGCAATGTGTTGTACACTGATAGCGTCGACTTCCCACAGCGCATCCAGCATCGATGCGTTCCCACTACCCCGAATCTGCATGCTACCGTGTCCATCACTCCTTTCTTGTCAAAACCTAGTTGTGTGTATTGGAAGATGGACATCGCAGCTGGATCTTGTAACTCGCGGAGGTGCCTGCGCCTCAACCTGGAAGCTTTTTGCATGTATTGCCAATCTTACGGGACCCACTATAGTTTTGGAACCACGTGCAGACCTCCAGGCTACCATGCCAAAACTCCGAGTAGGATCTGTGCGACGACCTATGTGAAACAGATGACGATGCGATGCCTCGACAATGAGGCGCGAGCAGACAAACGTCAAATCTGTGAGTCTGAAGAATTGCAGCTGTGAGAACTGTCTGAGGGTGTCGTGAAACTAGTGACAGGAGGTAAGCCGATAGCTCGAATCGCTAGTGCTAACGTCAGGAAGCACGGAAGTGATTCCCACGCGAAGATTCGCTCAGAACTGGATCGTCGGCAACGCGCACGGCTGCTTGCAGATCTGATGAGCATCGGTTACAGGAGATGCCGTGCCAGTCACATCATCGCTCCCTTTCGGGCAACGCGATGATGAACTTTTTGCTTCGATCCAGACTACATATCCCTCCGCCTCGGGGAGCTGAAGAAAAATGAAAGATCTTACAGATAACGTAGTTGGAGGCTTGGACCTTGCGGGCGGACTACGGGCTGAGGCTCAGTGGGCTGCACGTTGTTATGTGAGGAGCGCCCTTGCGGAGGGTCTTTATGCACGCTGCGGCAGCTTATGCATGGGCACGTAGCGAGACCCCTGCCTACGGAGTTTGCAGCCCTACCTGCGAATGGCTGCACCTCAGCTCACGACGCGTTCGACGCGTTCTCCTTCATCAACATCTCACTGGATGACAGCCGCCATGTGCCTGCTTGGCGAACGTAATCACCAACTCATCTCGCATATGTGCGTGCAGCTCGCTGGGAACCCGCAGCGCGCGCCTCCATGGCATTATCGACGGACGGCACTCGGCAGCCTCAAACGCCTCATCGCATGTCTGGTACGGCTGTCTGGCACCGGGTAACGTCCGAACTCCGCTCTCAAGTGTCAATACTAGATGAGGAATATAGGCTACTGAACTATACTTGTTTTGCCCTAAAGCACCTGGAGGCGTTGCTCGCGAAAACGTTAGAATGGCTGGTGGCTGCCATTGCAATCTTAATTTCAACCTTTCCAAGGACCACACCACACCCGTTGCAGTATGGGTCATCCCTAAAGGAGCCGCCGTTTCTGACGCCGCCGAGCTCGATGGGCTCCTGGGCTCTGCTTTTTTCCTTCATTGCAGGAACAGGGCCGTGCTCGCTAAGCCTCTCGCTTTTTGCAACCTGCGGGAGGAGGCGTCGATCTCCTGTCTAGGCTATGCTGGCGCTCACCCATGTGGCTTCTCTCGTCTGATATATGCCCAGGTGCGCCTCCACCTTCCGTTTACCTGCTTTCTGCATCTCGTCTGCACCACTTGCATATCCTGCATTCGCGTATTGGCCGTTTGTGCCTACCACACTCCTTCTTCATTCGCTCTTTTTACTACTAGTAATCCGACCTCGCTCCTTGAAACAGTCTTTACCACGTCGATTTTTGCTCTTTCGACATCTTTGCTCGTGCGTCATTGTTGCAGACACCACCTCGCTGCATATCAGGAGTCGCGCTTTCCTCTTCGAGTATCCTCGGAGGACCGTTCAGACGCGAGTTCCAATCCTAATCGTAATTTCTCCATGGCATTTGGCTCTTTGTAGACACGTCTACACCGCATAATCGCCATGCGCTTTTCTGGCCACTACTTGGTTCTCTTTCTTGCTCTTGTTCTATGCCTAGAGTTTGCGGTAGCAGCTCCTCATGCTGCTGTCCGTAGACAGGATGACACTCCTTCCGCGGAGTCGACGCGTGAGGCTCAGGACAGTGCGTCTCGACAGCCTTCTGCCACACCCACTCCATCGGGAATAATCTCTTCGAGCATTGAGTCTGAACGCCCTTCATCGACTGAAGCTTCCTCGGTCAAGCCATCAGAGACACCGGCACCGAGCTCTATCAATGATGTTCCTACTACGACTCCATCTGATGATGCTACTCCAGTATCTTCTGGTAAGTTACATGGTGGCAAGAAACATGAGATGTAGCTAATACGGTAATCCAGAGAGTGCCTCCGCGGACCCAAAAAACCCACTGCCCATTCACCCCAAGCTGACCCCCGCTATGGGCGTCACTGGAGTGCTATTGCTACTTAGTGGATTAGGATATGCCATCATTGGTATCAAGAACAAGTGGTATGTACATCGACATTCATCGATCAATCCATACTGATATAGAGAAGGGTATACGTGTTCGGGTCTGCTGCCTACCTGACCGCTCTCGCCGTCACTGTTTTGATAGTATACTTGATGAACCCTCCCGTCTCGGATGCCATCCAGGGAGCCTTCTTCGTGGCGGC